TTTCTAAAATCTCCACAAAACCCCTTCCGATTATGTTATTATTGATTACCATGAGGATATTAACTGGAAAGTCCATATATACTCCCAAGCCGTTCATACCATAATTTAAATTCCTCAACTATTTGGTGTAATGAAAACGGTTGACGGTTGTAATTACATATAATAATGGATAGATGATAATCTAATGTCCAAAGTATTAGGTGTTACTGATTTGAAATTTCTACTCGGTTAATTATACAGTCTATGACACTATGTTAGAACTTCATGGACTTTGTTACACCATAAAGCTGATTTCTAGTAAGTACACATAAACTCTTATTTCTATGGTATTCATTAAGACCAAGTTTTTTTACAGTTAAATGGATTTCCACCAGTCAGTTTAATTATTTGATTGATTTTTTATTTTAAAACTATCTATCATAAGTAGTCGAGTGAAATTACTCTAACAATAACATGTCAAAGTATATGATTAGTCGAAGTTTAACTAAAATCATCGACAGAAAACCGGATAGTCAAGAACATCTCGTTTTTTTCTAAGGTTACTAATAGTTGTAATAGGTTAAACCAGAGTATAGCTATGACGAAACTAGGTTTCTAAAGATGTTAAATGAAGAATAATGAATGGTAAAAAAGCTTGAGAAAATTTGAAATATATCTAATATTAAAATATAGTTTATTCTGGGATTTTCCAGAGAGGTATATGATCTGAAGCTTGTTTTTACCATTATATTTGACATCAACAGAAATACAAAAAGAAAGCAGATACCACCAGGTAGTTGTTTGGAGCTTTCAATAGTCTCCACTTACATTCAAATTGAAGATTGAACCCAGAAAATTTAGGTCCTGAGACATATATAGTACAATTAACAGATTTTCCTTTAAAATAAACGGATCCCGTACAAAACCACTTCCTGAGTAAGTCACCTCATGCGTACTTTGTTTTATTTGCGCATAAATTAGGGGATACTTATTTACTGTTCCTGAGGATAATCATCATTTCAATTGAAAATTTGAATAAGCAGATTTTAAAGAGTAACTATCAATAGAGTGTATCACATATCACCAAAACTCATTCAATACCAGTGTTAATGTTGCAACTTTATGTTGAAAAATTTGGTGTTATGTCAATAAACATATTTTACATTAGAACTTGGTGAAGAGAGGCTCGCAATCATGTAACTAGCCTTGATAACTAAATGCCAACTGGAAAGATATAGTGGTGTAAAGTTCTGTTCTGGTTGTCCTGAAAGAAATTAAACCACTCAACTTGGACAATAAATATGATACACTGAATTCTACCTATCCCGTAAGTTGTAAAATTTATCTAAATGCAAGAAATTGCAAGTAAACATAATGAACACCAGTCAACCAGCTATGATACTTAACGCACATTGCTAGGTAGTTCATAGATGTGTATTCATATGTTTAAATCAATACTCATTCACTCATTTATATAAATTGGTTCTAATAAACTGTTTGAATATAATGAGGGGAAACAAGAATATTCGCACAACAAAGATACCCAAATATTCTTTAGAAATTTAATCATCCACAATTCTTTACTCCATGTTCACCTATTAAACATCGAATCAATTAAATACCTAATATCTCTACCTGTAGTTTTTATTTAAAACAAACAGGTGTTTACTGACCTACCTTTCCACCCAAATCATTAATATTACTAGTAATGATACTAATGTTACTTTCCACCCCTAGCGACATGAATTAATCTACCTTCAGTGATTATCACTGTGTTCATCCAATCACTTTTCGTTTATGTTTTTCCTTATTTTCAATATTCTGTTAGGATCTATACTGCATTAAATTCTTTACTAAATTCATCCTATTAGATACCCAATAAATTTTTCCCATACTTTCTATTCTACAATTTGTATCTTGATTCCTGCTTCTTTTTTTTAAATATTTTTATTTTTGTGCGCGCATTTCTATTCTTATTACTGTGCTTATTTTTCAACAGCACACATATACTACACAGATACACACACATACATGTGATTTTCGTTATTCTATTTATTTTCTTTGTAGTTAATACGTGCAAATGTTTACACCTGTAATCTATTTAATTTATAAATAATAATAAGGATGTATACAAGTGGATTATTTTCCAGAATTATATTATGTAACTTATGACTTACGTTTATGAGTGATGTTACGATGTAAATCTTTGTATATTTGTATGGCTGTAATTCATAAATAAATAATTATTTAATAATTGTGCTGTATGAAAATAGCATTGGTCAACAAACTGATTTCTGATTAATAGACTTGAAATAAAGTTTGGATTACTTCTGGATTAATCAGTGATAGCTATATTGTATTGTATTACTGGTTTCTGACTTAGGGACTGAATCATGTTTTCTGTAGTTTTACATAAATACTATTGGACTGTCCTAAGCTGAATTGAAAAGTTTTTCTAGTACCAACAGGTTTCCTACAGTTTTTCAGTAGATATCAGTTTGTAATGAAACTCGTTTCTGAAGTCAAACGAGTAAATTTTGAAATGCTGAATTATCACAATATAGTATCTCTGTTTATTTTCAAGCAAGGTTATAAATGCTTGTGAAATTTTTGGATTTGTTTTTTTTAAGAAGCAGTCTGATGAAAAGATATACTATTGAAAAGTGTTAAAATTTGGTAATCAGCAATCATCAGGTTTTCCCAGTTTTATATCTGACAGACGATTTAATATTTTAAGGTTGAGCTTACCGACAAACCTGTTGACCCAGTCTCGAAAGTATCAATCAAGCTTCAATAATAAATAGTAACCGCTTAACAATGTATCTATCATAACCTAGCAGCTAAAAGGTTAACTAATTGACATTTGAAGTAAGAGATCCAGCGTTTGAGTCTAAGCAGAAAATCTTAGACTTACTGGGTTGTAATTGTATGTCCAGTTTGTAAGTGCTAAATAAATATACTTCCTGAACTCGTCATGGCCACGGCCAATGCTATCTAAATAGTCGATCGTTAATAATCTTCAAATTTTGATGATTCTTGAGCTATTAATAAATTTAAATGCAAAAATAAAAAATCAAGCGTTCAAACGTCCGGCAACTTCTATATGTATCTTGAAAGTTAGCCTATGAAAATCAGTTAAAAGTGAATACCAGAATATTGTTTTAATACTATTACGAACCTGATGCACTCGATTCATATTACACCTTTGAAAATATTTCAATAATAGATATGATTATCTCAAATCTACTTTTAAAACCTTGACTACATGACAAATATGACATAACAAAAACGGAATCTAAAAACAACTTTGCACACAATAAATTATCCTTGTGAAATCCATTCACCGTGATCTCATCAATTGATAGAACACTCATTAACTTTTTTGGACCTACTACTCGGTAGCAGTTACAGAAGATAAGTGGTTAAAATTTCTTTGAATTAAATGGTTAAAGTTTGTTAGCCGTGCCTAACCACAAGTGATCTCAGTGCAATGTGACAGATAATGTATAACAAAGTTTAGAAAACCTTAAGTTTGATCAGACTTTGTATCAACCTGTAAAACTATTATCTGTTCATCTATGTTGTCTGAAAAGTTGCAGATTTTCTGGGTGGAATCAGAGTGAAAATCATAACGTATGCTTGGATACATTAATTAACAATGCTTGAAATCCGTCTCAGAAGTACCGATCCGTTCATCACTTATCTTAATGTAAAACTTAGATCAAGTATTATTCCTACACCTTTCCATTCACTATGTTAATCATTCATCTTGAAATGTCTTTGCTATTCAATTTCCCACCACATTTATGTTATTGTCATTCTAATTCTTTGAGTTTACATTCTACTTATTTTCTCCTTCTCACTTTTTCTCAATGTTGATGTGAGCTGTGACACCAAAAAGCGTTAAATCTTTACACCAGATTCTATATTGTTTACGTTTGTCTGTTTATAAAAAACTCTGTTGGAGGCGATCTTTCTCTAAATTAAGAGATGACCAACAGATCTATGAATAACTTACACTTTTAATTTCCCTTACATATAGCAGCTGATTAATTTGATTCATCAGGGTTATTGATAAAGAAAATTCAAATGTTTTGTGCTAAAGTATTTTTGAAGAAAATTATTGATTTTACAATTATTGCTCAGTGATTATTAGGGAAATGTCTCCTATGAGTGTATTTCTAAAGGCTATAAACAAAATCCATAGACATCTACCAGTTTATATATATATGTACTATTAGTTTATTAAATGAATCCGTTCAAATTATCGATATTTTTGTCTTTAGACATTTTATACATGAAACCAAATGAACAACTTTGTTTTCACAGATCCTAACCTTTCATTAATCATTCATGGAGTTCTTAAATTTGGTTAAGCATTTTCATATTTTGATCTAAATTAATTAATTATTCCTTCATTCGATTATTTTTTTAAAATGAAAACTCACACTGATACATATATGCCTTACCTGCTATGAAATAAGTTCAATTTGTGTATACTTACTATTACTTTGATGGATTTATCCATCCTATCTGATGTTGTTCATAATAAGTGTACATTATTCAGCTTTCGGTGATCGGCTTTCAAGAGTTTCTTCGAGTAATCTCTATCGTTTTCTAAAAATCAAGTCTCAAAAGTATTAAACATTGCAATGTTATCTCAGCAATATAGCCACAACTATTTCATATCATTTCATCACTTACTCATAGACATTTTGTTTATGTAAATGATTTAGAAGTAAAATATCTGTCAACTTAATTTTCCACTTAGTGCTTTTGTTCTTTTGTAATTACTCATATTTCATTGAATGTCCTAGTTTTTGGTAACTGTAAGATATTTTTCTAGGATATGGAATATATGTATATATATATTACCAAACGCACAAAATCGTGTGTAGGTATCATACATACATCTTGTATTGTTTCCACTAGTTATCGTGTTTGTTTACTTCTTATAACATATTAACTTATAGATGATATGTCTAACTATTTTATGCTTTGTTTTAACCTTGATTACTCAGAAAAATTTGAAGTTACATTCGTGAAATAATTTCTTATACAAGAGACCTAGCTAACTGAAGTGAGAGTGTGAACTTTCATCAGGAAATAATCGCTGATATTATCAACTCCTAATTGTTGTTCTAACTCTTTGGTCTCAAGTAATACAGCATGATTTCAATGTGTATTTGTTCGTTGTCACATATTTGAATCTACTATGCAGGTAATCTGATATTTTAGCCTCATACACGTTTGGCATTAACAGTTACATTTATCTTGACTTAGTTTGTTATTTTCCACTGTTCAGCATCTGTATCAGTCAACTAGCAAATGTGAAACGTTACATTGAGATTAAATCCTTTGAAATTGAGCAATGATAATTAAATAGTTACTGGATTCAAACCAACTTCATTATTTTTACTCCAATCAAGAACATTGACTGGTCTTAATGTTAGTTTTTTTTAAAGATGAGTTACAAAGGTCTCAGAATATTTCAAATATGATTTGATCGTCTAATTCTGAGAACTACATGCTTTAAGCTTGGTAGTTTGGGAAGGAATTTACTCCTCAAAATTATATTGATGGACGACACGAGTTACAAATTTATTGAATAAAACAGGAAACAAAGATAACTCCATTTAGATATATCTATAATAATTTACTTAATTTCCAATCTACTATGTGTCAAACTAACACATCATTTCAATACGCGTCGTTACTCTGTGTTTTGAAAGACTCATTTAGTGACCACAACTGTTTTTTTTTGCAGATATCTTCAGATTGTCGGTTCAGTAAAATGATACTAAATACTACCATTATCTCTTGTTTCATTATATCAAGAATACTACACCTAACGTGAAGCTCATGTGCACACATTAATCGAAAGAGTAGAAAAATCCACTTGATTAATAATATGTCCTATATAAATTAGAACACAAAAGTCAACCATCTGATATAAACCATCTTTGATGTTATTCGAAATCACTCATTCTAAATATATTAGTGCATATATTGTCTAATTAATTCCTTTCTGCATATTTCACCAAAAAATATTCTATTTTTACATAATCAATAGTTGTGTTTCAAATCTATCCTATCCCTGTTTGATGTGTCTTTCAGGTTGGTTAAATTGGTAGACAGACACATGTACTATTGTCTGCTGTTTATCTCTCCATTAAATGTTTTATAAATAATCCCTTGTAGGCTAACCCCTCCCACACTTTTGATTAACTTGTACCTTAAAGAGAGAGAGAGTGAAATTAAAGAATTGACAGCTTTTAAATATACATACAAATGAAAATAATGTTCTACAGGGGCGATAAACATTATAGTCTAATGATTTTATCATAACTGTCGACAGAACAAGCATAATCTGTAAACAGTCATTCAAAGTCTGTGGATTAACTTTTTTTATAAAAAAACAAACAAATTTTACACATAAATATATGATATTTGAAGAACAGAATCCCTGCTGTGTTCTACTTCATAAAGTATGAAAATATGGAATTATGTTGACGATAATGATTCTCATGAAAAGATCACTTTTTTTCTAAGCTTTTCTCATTGAAATGTACTCGTACATTCATACTCACTAACTAGTTTACTGATTTGATTTATCCAGATGTTATGTTTTGTAAATCAGAAGCAAAGGAAATTGTTATTACATATTATGTAATGTTGTATTGAGAACTTACTACAGTGTTTATATGCATGACTGTTAAGTTAGTTTTATTATTATTTTTTAATATACACTAACGGGATTTATAATCCAGTTGCTAAATTAAGAAATACTTGCGTCATTTGTATCTTCTTACATATTTACACACAGGGTGTACACGTGTACACACGGAACATATGTCAATTAATAATTGTTCTTATATATTTCTGGATAAGTATAGGTGGAACATAATCCCAAAGAAATTTATTTTTCTAAGAAATCAAATTAAATTCAAGATTGCTTTTCATCATAAACTTAAATCAGTCAATCAACTGTCAGTAATCATAAAACCCTGAACATAGATTATTTGAAAATTTTGTGATAGCTGATTAAAGATAACAAAAATCCTAAATCTTTTGGCAGTGTTGAGATCTCTGAGTTGAACATTGAATATTAAAGCTTTTCTTTTCGTTGTGAACAATGTCAGTCATTATCTTACGCTTAAAATATGGATTTTTCTTTATTATTTCAAAATAAACAATTATTCTAACACATACGTTATCCTTTATGCTCTCGATTTCAGCTACTACTAGAACATGGTGGTTGAGTTTGCTTTTTGTGACTACCCGCCCGAGCTATATTGACTGAAATATTCGGTTCTACCATCCCAAGTAGGTTGGATAGAAAGCGGTAAGATTAAAAAAACAAACTCGTGGTCCGAGGTTACAGCCATAAAGCCAAGTGTTATGAGGTGTGGTGGTAGTAAGGTGTTTCCTCAGACAACCAGATTCTTCAACAATTCTACCATCTTACAGTGAAAGGAATGGGTTATAAAAGGTCAGCTCTAAAAACAGCACACCTCACCTTACTCCATAGGTTTCCATCTTCATCAGTAAGGTTTTAAAAGTGTGGAAGTAGCTTATCTAAAACTACTCGGGAAAAAGGTCATGTACTCCTTTGGATCTGGGGTCACACTCTTAGGCGGCTAAGACCACTACTAATACATTTCCTTTTACTCGCGTCTCAATAAAACTACTATTTTATGCTGTAGATAGCCAGAAAGTAAAAACCGCTCTTATACCTATAACAGCATGTGAGATCAACTCGTTCACAATCAAATCCCATCTTCATTAACAAATAGTTCTTCTGTTCCTACCATCAAACATCATCTTCTGTCTTCGAATTCCCCTACAGTTTTACCGGTGCAAACGGCTAGAGTTCACGAAATGCCATCCTAGGTCTCCTGAAATCACGCTCCAAGCTATATGTTGGAGCTTTCAATGTTCAAACCCAAGGCCAAATCGAACAATAGACACCACTAGCTAAAGCGATAGAATTTGGCGCCATTAATTTATGCTGTCTCCGAAATATGCATACAAGATTCCAACATTATCGTTGATTTGACCTCGTCTAATAAAATACCCTCTCGTAATAAATCACAGAGAAATCAGTTTGACTAAAATAGTATTTAAAACACTAGCCTCCATAATAATCTAACGTTTACCAGCATCTCAGAAACAACTCCGAGAAAGTCACGTTCGTTTCAGGAGCAAGCGTGAACGTACTGATCAACTATTCGCCAGGTTTTAGAGTACATAAACACTTACCGACGTATAACTGTAGTTGTATTTTTTTGGCCCTAAAACAGTATTTGAACGCGTTAACTGAGAGGTTTCGTGGCAATATTTGTCGTTGAAAGGAGTACCAAAGTACTTCATAAACCTTGTGAAGAATCTCTCATCAAACACTATTCATCGAGCCAGAGCTTACAGTAAACTGTCATTAAAGCTGTCAACCCGAATTATCCTTCGTCAGAGTTACACATTAGCCCCATTTTTATTTAATTTTTCCACCCATATTCTCCTTGAAATGAGGTTTTCTTTGCCTGAATTCCCCGGAATTCATTCCCTGCCATAAGATATACTTGTTGACTCAGAATAGATAAATGATATGGTTCTATCTGGTGAAGATGCTAAGAAAAATACAGTCTTCTTAACGTCTTGAACAAAAATGCAGGCATGCTTGTGATACGATTCTCTCCTCTTAAATGCAAAATGTGGCTTCATAACCAATCTGCGTCAACACCTGGGATATTGATAGGCAGCGAAGTAGTTGAGCACGTCTATCATTTCACTCATTTTGAAAGTTTCGTAAATCTTGGTTGGTATCTGACGAAATCTCAGTAAACATTCGGAAAGTTATGCTGGCTTTTCCAACTTGCTTCGCTTAAGGCGTAGATGCCGGCTCAGTGGTCTAGAGACTAAGTGTTCACGCGCGAGACCGAAGGTCCTAGGTCTGAGCCTCAAGTACGGTATCATGGGTGCGCACTGCCGAGGAGTCCGGTACTGGGACGAAACCCACGTCTAGTGCTTCCAGGTTTTCGATGGTGCTCTAGCTTAAATCGGCTCATGAATTCAACTATTACAATATTACAATCTCCACAAACCCCCAGTCTGATATTAATCGTAATTGTTTATTACGCATAGCTGAAGAGTTATAAATTTTGTAACAATTAATGTTTTAAATTTCTACAAGCCGCTCAGTTTTTGATTAATGTTTAAAATAATTAGCCCATTTGATAAATTGACACAGTATAATGAGAATACGAAATTTATTAAGACAGTGGGACACATTGGAGTAATGTAAATCAAGTAATTTGATCACATAATAGATTTATATGAGCAATGAAAAAAGTTATTCTATACAAACGGCAACACTAGGAACAATAAATATAATAAGAACACTAATCAAATCCCTCTGGGTATTAAATTAAAATCTGTATTACCAGGGTCGATCGTATGTAAGAGTACAAACTGATTTCGAACACACACGATGGCGCTGATCTGATTGTTTTAAATATATCTAACTAATAAATCATACATTTCCGATAAAATTTATCTCCTTATTGCAATATCGGGATTGTCAACATGCTCTGTTTACAGTTACTTGTTATTATTTATCCTTCTTGTGTCGTTTATCTGAGAATTCCCTTTGTATTATCATCAGACCAAAACATTAACTGTGTGTTGTATGTGTTTTCGGTTGATTGCACACAGACGTTGTAAAATAAATCACTGTCAAAAATACTTTCCACAAGTTTTTCACATATTTAAAGAGAAGATTCAGTAAAAACGATTAACATACATTCAGACACCTTATGTTTCATAGATGAAGTATTTTAGATTGCTAAATGAATCAACCTTACTTAAAATAAAAATATGGATCGTTTAATTTCAAATAAATGATCTAAAGTTAGCACATTCATCATTATAAATAAAGGTTCTGATTTTCATTATTGGCAAGTTACTGGGTACATACAAGGTAGGAGCTCCAAGACGACTACTTAGCGTTTCTTGATTTTCTAAAATGGTTTCTTAAGAGATCTCAGTTCGTGATGAAAATTGACATTGAGCTCAGTAATCATTTATCACAAAACAATACCAATTTATTTAGTGATTACAAATGAGTGTTTCTACTTATATAATGAGTCATAAAATGATGCATTTTTAGAACAGAAAATTTTAATCGTTATACTTCAGGAAATTTCGCTTTAAAGCTACTCAGTTACCTCTAAAACATTTTGTCACTGTCAAAGTAATTGATTATAGGGCAAGTTTATTTTTTTTACTTGAGATATGTAATACTGTTCTAAATTTTAAACTGTTTTCAATTTCGGTGAAAGTTTCTAACTAAATGCGAATAGCGATAGAAGCAGAATCGCTACTAATACTACTTCTATTATTATTATTTCTGTCCTTGTTATAGTTGTGTTACTGGTGTTTGCAAACACAAAATCGTTGTACACATCACATAACTGATTATAATGAAAGAATAAAGTTCATTGTAGACAAAGTTTGCCTACTTCTCTGTTAATTAATGTTTCATTTTACAATGGGGTTGATCTTTTTCTTCATCGATCAGCAAATTTTGGTGGTTTATTTTTATGGTCTCATTTTCATGGTACACACTTTGATTAACTCATCATTTGATGTACCCTGTTATCAACTATTGAAGATCATGAAGGACTGAATTAGTGCCTTCTCTCATTTTGTAACTTTACAGCATACCTATACTTCATGCGCGAATTAAACTCGACTCCTTTAGCTTTTCTATATGAAACATATTTCAATTCAATCATTATGCTTAGAATTCATGATTCATATTCTTGTATTTTAATAATTTCATCACAGAATGTGACTACTATAATCAGAGATCATTCCTCTGCATTCTTAACTTACTTGGTGAATATCGTTTCAGATAGTAAGCATAAGCATTGAAGTTATTATAAACAGTTTGTAATTCTAGATATTAGTATGATTAACTTAAAAAGCTCTTTCACAATACAAAGTATAGTGGTAACAAACATTTTGACAAACAGTGATAAATAAATAAATAAGTCGACTAAATAATTGACTCAATAATTGAATGTACTGACGTAAAGTCACATACAAAAGTGGATCAGTTACATTATTTTTATCATTCTGAAGCGTCCTAACTAGGTAAAATGATCAATCTGAACTAAACGAAGAAAACTATGGATAAATAGTGAGAATTAAAAGTTCAAGAGGAAGAAAGTAGAGGGGAGAACGAAGTTGTAATACTGATGTTAATCTTCATTAATTTTTGTTCAAGACTTCAGTTATTCCCTTTTTATTTGTCAATAATCTGGGTATTGAGTGGTTTGGCGAAAAAGTATGATGACTTGATATTATTACAATATACATTTGTTAACTGACACTTAAAATGTATTACTTGTCTTATTCATCTGACATTTGATAAAAAGATTAAAATCAGTATTAATATGCTACATATAAGCGATTCATTATTTACCTAAGTAATATTTATTAAAGATCAAACAATTTACAGTTATCCACTTTTATTTTTCTTCCATTTTTTGTGTTTTAGAACTCAGTGAAACCAATAAATTATTGTCATACAAATAACAAACAACAGATCGTCAACACATCGTCTACATCATCGTTAATAACACCATCAAAATTATACTCTCCATCTTTTAGTAATTATAATCAAACATATGGTACAATATCCTTATCTCAACTACACCAATTACATACACGTAAATGGGCAAATTAAGGAAATAAAATAAATTTTTGCGAAAATCTGTAAACATCTTTTTTTTCTTGATTTTCGTGTTTTCATTAGATCATTAAATGTACACATTCATATCAGGGATAAATCATTAGCAAATGAATAATACAATGTCCATTCATTATATTTACAAATTGCAATGTGTACTTTATCATGATTAAAATTTAACACCACTATCGTGATTTTCTGAAAAAAAAACTTTGAATTTTTTGAATTTTAAATCATTTCTATGAAATTTTCACATTTACTACTTCAATGAACTGATTCTTCTTTTACAATTTATGAATCTACTTTTCATTCTAACTAATGATAATCGATGTATTTTCATTAATTCATTAAACATGTACTAAATAGTAATTCAAGAAAGTTGTATAAATT